ACGTTCCATTGTTCCACGTTCCATTTTTCCCACTATTCTTGTAAGATTGATACAGATATGCACGTACAGGCTATGAAATATGAGTTGTGCCATTGTGGTGGTCCTGCATATGAGTTCAATGTTCTTATATTTGTATCTAAAACAGGCACTGCACAATATAGAGATGAATGGTAAAATTCAAGCTAATAATTTAGCATTTTAATTTTTCTTCTCTTAGAATGACTTAAATAGCAAAAAGTAAAAACAAAAATGCCCCCAAAACCTAAACAGTAAAACCACCATGATAAGTTGGAGGGAGACTAAGAGAGGCAAAAAAGCCTAATGTTTTAATAGCATTTATGGTATTTTGTTCTTATTGTTGTTGTTACTTTTTGAACCACGGACACCACAGTTTCATTTTTCACTAGGCTTTGGAAATTATATCTTGCCTTGCGAGGGACTGGTATGAGTTTGCTAGGGCTCCTATAACAAAACTCTAGACTCAGTGGCTAAAACAAGAGAGGTTATTTTCTCCTGGTTCTGAAGGCTAAATGTCCAAGGTCAAGGTGCTGTCACAGTTGGCTTCTTCTGAGGCCTTCTCCTTGGCTTGCAGTTGGCCACCTTCTTGCTGCCTCTACACATGGTTGGCTCTCTGTTCATGTGTACCCCTGCTATGTCTCTTTGTCCAAGTTTCCTCTTCTCTTAAGGACACCAGTCAAACTATATTAAAGCCCACTAACTTAATGACCTCATTTAACCTTAACTACCTGTTTAAAGTACCTCTCCAAATATAGTCCACATTTTGAGATACCGAGGATGAGGGTTTCAACATATGAATTTTGAGGGGCTATGATTTAGTCCATAACTAGACTTTTCAATGGCATGAGGCGTAAATTTCCTTTTTTAAATGTCAAGTGTATTGGGGGTCTTTTAGCTGTTGTATTAAATGAAAAATGGATAGAGCACACGACCTGCCAAATGAGGGGGCATCAGCTACACATGTGGGGTGGCAGTTCGCTTCTTCAGCATTTCAGCTTCCATGTTTGGGGAAGTAACCCCAGAGTCATTTTGATTGAAGGTGCAGTTTCAATACACTCATTCAAAAGAAAGTCACAAGATTTATTCCACAGAAATCCCAGAAGTGGAGCAGAGTGTAATGAGCCCAGGGGAGGGCAGACCTCCATCCCAGGTCATGAGCGAGCAGGAGACAGAGAGCAGAGAAGCAAGCACCTATCACGTATAGGTGGTAAGGGCAGAGGTCGCTAACTTTTTGTGGCCTCAACCACAGTGGTTATTTCAGCAGATGCCCTGGGAAAACCAAAGCAGGAACTTGTGGTGGGAATCCTAAGCTCAGGTCCTTATCTGAATGTCCAGACTCTCGGCGTGAGCAGGTCATACAGTAGATGCCTAAATGCAGTAAAATAGCTGTTTTCTCATCTCATCAATGGAGGTTTCTGTGAGGAGGTTTTTGGTTACTTAGAACTTGAAAGAGTCTAATTGAGACCGCTTCCCAGTGCAACCTCTGGGCTTCTACACCTTAGTATTCTGTTCTCTGCAGACAAAATATTGTTAATGCTCTTAAGAGACTTGGGAATGAGGGAAGAAAGACATACAATGTTGCCATAAGATGCAACCAGCTGTTTGTGAAAATATACCTTCACATTTTGTGCATGAAGCTCAGAAAATACTAGTGGTAGAAAAGATCGGGTATCAGCTCCTTCATTCTGTAGATAGTAGTATGCAAGCATGAGAATGAGAATGTAGATGGTAGAATGAGAGCTTGGGGAAGTCAAATGAAATCTAGATAGCTGGGTAAGCAAATACTATAACCCACATCTCCTGATATCTAGGTCAGGATTCTTTCCATTCTATTCAGTAACACTTAACCCCAAGCCCATACCTGGTACCGAGATGAAGTACACAATTCCGATCCTGAATTGGCTCACTTGTTTGATAAAAACCTCATCTCTCAGGTGGTCTTTGCGACTTTTTTTTTTTTAAACAAATGATCATTTGAATGAAAAATGTACCCAGTGTACAAAAATGTACCAAGATCCCTGGCTAAATTCAAACTAGCAAAATATGTGCAACAGAAGAGTGTTTTCTCATTTTCAAACAACTTCTTTTATAGAAGTAATGCAAATGCTTGCATTTCTCATTCAGGAAAAATCACACATGCTACAATCTAAACTGAGATCTTTGTAGATGTGACTTCAATTACAGTATGTGCAAGGTAATCAATAATTATAGAAGGCAACTGCTCTAAGGCAATATTGGGCTGCGGAACCAGGATTGAGATTTGAAATTTAGAACATCCTCTACTCATCCCCTGGAGTTAATTCTACATGCAGGGCATAGGCTTTGGTCTCAAGAACGAAGAGGGAGCAGAAAAACACTATTTTACTTGCACAGTTTTCTAAAGAGGAATCACGTACGGGGTGGACGGATATTTTTTATTTATTGAATGTTCTCAGCATTTCTCATTGGTGTCTCTAAGCAGCAGCACTTAGATCAATAGGAAGGCATAAAGTTGCAAGATGGGAATGAAAAATGAGATTAAGAGTAACATTTGTAAAAATGCTAAGATACCTGTTTGAGAGACAGTAGAGGCTAGGTGACGGACTCTCTCAGTCTCCCCTTTCTTCTTGCATAACAGAGCTGATGCTGTGGCCTCCTTTAAAAAGCTATTTCTAAAGTGTGGGGAAAATATAAGGCATCGTAGAAATTGAGACAGTGATAGAATGTGATTTCAAGGGAAATGACCATTTGGTCAAAGTTGAGAAAAAGTTGTCACTGTCCTAAATACCTCTGATTTAAAGTAATTTGGCTGGGTGGGTTTTTTTGTTTGTTTGTTTTTGTTTTTTTGTTTTGTTTTGTTTGTTTTGGCTTTATTCTGGTTTCCACAAATATGCTAATACATCCAAATAAATGTTTTCATTCAAAACAGCCACCTTGATAATGCATGTATTACAACACAGTAGGCATTGCTTAAAACATCTTGGGATTGCCTTTATTTTCAGAGCTAGTAAACATGTGTCTGCTGATTTCTGGAAACTGCCAGAAGATTGGAAGTGCCAAGTATGGTGAATAAAGCCATGATTTAAGCAAGTCGTCTTTTTTCTTTTTTTTTTTTCCTATATTGTACTGTTGCTAATCAAACATGGAGAGTCAATATGAACTAATGGAATTGATTTTCTTGTATTGTTTATAAGGTGATGCTGAAGGGTTAAGAAAGAGTTGAACAATGACAACACCTTAGGTAGAACTTCTGAAGGTGGTTGTTATGAAGGGTCTCATATTCAAGTACATCTGGTTCTTTTTGCAAACACATATGTATACAAACGAGTATGCACAGAGCTTGCATACAGGTTGTACAATTTTCAGTTGTCTTGGTCGTGTAAAAAAATATAACTTTATATGATTCAACTAAATATACATTCCAAGAGACCATTACTCCCTGGTTATAAACATTACAAACTAAGTCACTTCTGAGTTTTCTCAATTTCTGGTTTAAGTACCATCAAGTCAAAATTTCTGCTTCTTAGGGCGCCTGGGTGGCTCAGTGGGTTAAAGCCTCTGCTTTCGGCTCAGGTCATGATCCCAGGGTCCTGGGATCAGACAGAGATCACAAGTGCTGAGCTCTCTGCTGAGCAGAGAGCCTGCTTTCCTTCCTCTCTCTCTGCCTGCCACTCTGCCTACTTGTGATCTCTGTCTGTCAAATAAATTAAAAAAAAAAAATTTCTGCTTCTTCCTAGGTCTAATCTAAGCTGTGGTGTTTTCATAGTCTCATAGCAATAGCGAAGAGATAGTATCTACTCCTTGGTCTTTCTTTACCTGTCCTGCGCTGGTCTCTCCTGGGATAAGTACTTATCTCATTTGGTCCTCTATGCTGCTTCATACTTCTGTGCCTCCTTCATCATGATTGTAGGGTCCATTTGGGGCACTTATTCTCTCTATTTCTCTCTTTCAGAGCTAACATCTGCATCCTGAAAAGGTGAGGAAAGAGAAAGAGTCAGTGTACCTCCCATTCCTTTTGGAGTACTGCAGACTGGGAGAAATCTTGGACCCTGTACCCTAGGCATCCCACAAAGCCATTCAGCTCCTTTGCTGTCTTGCTTTGGTGGTGTGGAAAAAAAAAAAAAAAAAACCAACTATATAAAGATGTGTTTGGTGCATAAACAGGATCCCTATGAATATTTCTTGATCTACAGACTGAATGAATGCAGATACTGTTCCCCAGAGTTCCAGAAGGGAAGTAGGGAATAGTTTTCTCTTTTGGATTCCCCAAGCTAAAAAAAAGGTTCTTTTCTTTTCTGCACTCTCTTTGAAACTATTCCTGAAGTGGGAATGGAGGGAAAAGGATGAGGGGCCTTCTAAGAAACCTGGTGAGAATACTTCTAGATCTCCAAGGACTCGTGTATCAATGTAGTCACTTGAGGAGGCTGCCGAGTGTCCCACCTTATTTGGTTAAATTATACATATCTTTTAGGGTCTAGATGAGACTTAGCCTTAACTCTCCTCTAGACTGTGTGTTCCATGAGGAGTCTTCTCTGTTTCTATCACCTTCATATTACCAGGTAACGTACTTGGCATATATGCAGCCAATATGTGTCTTTGAAATAATTAATGTGAGTGTAAATAACTGAGCTATCTGAACCAGTGTATTTGGACATTTCAGAGGGTTACTGGTATTTTCTAGATTTTGGTGGTTCAGTTATCTCAGACGACTGGAATTATTGTCTTAGTCCTGGCTGCATCTTTACAAATCTGGAGATAGTGGGTTAAGAGGGAAATGTCACTATTCCCAAGTTAATACTCCTTATTGAGCCCAAAACTCAAGGACACGATCTGGTTTTAAGATACCACCTATTTAACTTTTTACATAGCTAGTTAAAAAATTTATTTTTGCACACATTTAAGGTCCTATTAGAATGCCTTGGGACAACTTGAGATTTGACAAAGTCAGTAATCATATGTAAATTTTTGGTTATATAACCAACAATCCATTTCTTGTACTCTAGATTCCTCAGTGACCATAAATGACTTTGAAAGGAAGAGTAATCCTCACCAACTAGGACAGGGAAATCTCCAATGGACACTTTGCACAGTGAAGATTAGGAATGGCTGGTAAATCTTTAATGGACAATTGGCTCCACTCTTCATGGGTTTATGAGAACAGCTGCACCAAGCTTACTAAATTGAAATGTTCTGCATTCTGCTAAGAAGGGTCAACTTTTGTCTTCCTTCGTTCCTCTTTTTCTTCTTTCCTTTCTTCCTGCTTCCCTCCCTCTTTACATTTCTTCCTTTGTTTGTTCCCTTGTTCTTTATTTCTATTTCCCTTTTTACATTTCTAGCCATCCTGTCTTTAACCTAGTTAACTATATTTGCACAGAAGTAATTCTACTATGATCAGCACGTGTGGAGGAGAGAATAGTGCTTATTTCCATTTATTTAAACTGTGTCTAAATCTAATTCAGCTGTGCATACATAGAAGCTAAAATTCTTTAAGTTTAAAGAATTCATTTAAGGGGCGCCTGGGTGGCTCAGTGGGTTAAGCCGCTGCCTTCAGCTCAGGTCATGATCTCAGGGTCCTGGGATCAAGTCCTGCATCGGGCTCTCTGCTCAGCGGGGAGCCTGCTTCCCTCTCTCTCTCTGCCTGCCTCTCTGTCTGCTTGTGATCTCTCTCTGTCAAATAAATAAATAAATAATTAAAAAAAAAAGAATTCATTAAAAAAAAAAAATACCAGTAGTCTGGGATTTCCTCTGGACATATGCCTTCCTTTTATCAGTTACCAAATACAGAGAGTTATTATGCATCCTCAGAGTCAAGACAAGTATTTCTCATTGTGAATGCAATATTCCATCTTTGTTACCTTGGATTAATCACAATGAGACAGCACAGCCAACATGAAGGGTGGGAGTTAGAAGACATCAGTCCTTTATCTTAAATTTGTGAAAGATTATTGAACTATGTTTTGAAATCTGGAGCTTCTTTCACTGGGGCAAGGATACATTCAATTTTTCTTATTTCCTTTCCCTTAGTTTTGCCAGTGGATCATCCAATATACATCTTATGTACCCAATCCTAGCTCCAACATTTATTAACTCACAGCCAAATTTGACTGATCTCGGTTTTTACCATATTCCCTCACCTTAAATTATGTTGAAGAGAATATTAGACATCATAGCATTTCATCCATCTGTAATTCTATATAGATATTCAAAATGATACAAATTATCTTTAAAAATTAATAATAATTACTATATTATTAAATATTACCAGTATTCAATATACCTCACCCCCACACACACATCTGTATATTGAATCAGGATCTAAATAAGTTCAAACATTGGAATTGATATGATTTTTAACTTTCTTTTTATAACTTTTACTTCATTATAGTAAGAACATTTACACGAGACCGACCCTCTTGACAAATTTTTAAGTGTATAGTACATGATCGGTGACTATAGGTGCAGGGTCTTACAGCAGATCTCCAGAACATATACATGTGTTTAACTGAAACCTTATGCTGATTAGTAACTTCCTATTTCCCCTTCTCTCAGCCCTGGTAATCACCACTCCATTCTTTGATTCTATGAGTTTGACTATTTTTTATATTTTCTCCCATTCTGTGGGTTGCCTTTTCATTCTGTTGATAGTTTCTTTTGCTGTGTAGAAAACTTTTTAGTTTAATGTGGTCCTACTTATTTATTTTTGTTTTTGTTGCCTGTGGTTCATGTCATATCCATAAAATCATTGCCAAAACAGACATTTAAACTGTTCTCCTGTTTTTCTCTTAGGAATTTCACAGATCCAGGTCTTACATTTAAGTGTTTATGCATTTTGAACTGATTTTTGTGTATAGTGTTAGATAAGGGTCTAACTTCATTCTTTTGAATGTATATCCAGTTTTCCTAACACCATTTGTTGAAGACACTATCCTTTTACCATCATGTGTTATTAGCGCCCTTGTCAAAGACCTGTTGACCCTAGATCTGTGGATTTATTTCAGGCCTCTCTATTCAATTTTGTTGGTGAGACTACTGTAGTTTTGTGATATATTTTGAAATCAGGAAGTGTGATGTCTCTGGCTTTGTTCTTTTTCAAGTTTGATTTGGCTATTCACGGTCTTTTGTGTTAGTATATTGTATAATTTTTTTTCTATTTCTGTAAAAGATTGCCATTGGAATTTTGATTGGTATTACAGTTGATAATATTAAGTCTTCAATCCATGAATATGGCATTTCTGTCCATTTGTTTTGTTTTATTTAATTTCTTTTATCAATGTTTTGTTTCTAGTATACAAGTCTTTCACTCCTTAATTAAGTTTATTACTAAGTATCTTACGCTTTTTGTTATTGTAAATGAGATTGTTTTTTTAATTTCCTTTTCAGATGGTTTGTTGTTAGTATATGGAAACAGAACTAATTTTCATTTGTTGATTTTGTATCCTGCAAATTTACTGAATTCCTTTATCTGTTCTAAAAGTTTTTTATGGAGTTTTCATACACTTTTCAAGCTGGCAAAGACTCATCAGAATTTAGTTTCAGTGTCCCCAGTTTCTTCAAAGTCTTCCCACATGTCCCTGTTTCAGCCTACAGGATCCCTTTCTTTCCCAACCGATGCCCTCACTTTAATAGTAGATACCCTGCGAGGCCCTGATTTCAACTGGGTTATAACTCAATCACCAAGATCACAGGATGGTCCTGCATTTGATTTTCAGCAATTTCATCTTTGCAGGTACAGAAGATAGGGGTCTCCTTTGGGGAACATAAAGAAACTCTTAGGTCCTTTATGGGGTGCTTGGAATGGGAATTCAAAACTCTTGGCTCATCTTTTTCTTGCACTACTTTGTCCAGCAATGTTAGGAGTAACCAGCCAATGTCACTATATTCATTAGTTTTTTAAGAAATACTCAAAAATATCATTACAGAGTTACCTAGTTTCTTGATTCTTGATTCTTAATTCTTACAAGATTGGGATTAGGAATATCCCATGCAGATGTTTTGGCTAGGTCATGCTGTGGACTATCTTTATCTCTTTATTATTGGAAACAGAGTCGTTAGCATCTTTGCATCCAGTCAGTTTAGAGAGCCAATTCCAGAAACTCTGGAACCAATTCAGAAAACTTATTCTGAACATCCTGTTCCTCTAGAACCACTTTTAGTACCAAAATCTGTATTAGTCAAGGTTCTCTAGAGAAACAGAACCAATAGGTTATACATATGGAGATTTATTATGAAGAACTGGCTCACACAATTAAGGAAGATGAGAAATCTCATAACCTGTTGTCTGTAAGTTGGAGACCAGGGAAAGCCAGTGGAATGATTCTAGTCCAAGTCCAAAGTCCTGGGAACCAGAGGAGCAATGGTACAAATCTCAGTCTGAGGGCAGAAGACCAATGTCCCATCTCAGCAGGCAGGTAGGAAGGGAAGGAATCCTCCCTTCCTTCGCTTTCTGTTTTATGCAAGCCCTCCATGGATTAAATGATGTCCGCTCTTGCAGGGAAGACAATCTACTTTACAGAGCCCACAGATTTAAATGCTAATCTCACCTGGAGACATCCTCATAGACACACCTAGCAATAATGTTTAATCTGGGCACTTTGTGGCCCAGTCAAGTTGACACATAAAATTAACCATCACAGTTTCTTTCCATCTTATATACTGATTATATGTATGAATTTCTAACTTCATTTATAATTCAATTATGAGTACCAAGGAAGTGAAGACTTGCTAATTGTGTATCTGGAGAAATTCCAAATTCCATGAAGTGAAGTCTTGTTATGATGAATCAACAGGGACTTTTTGTTCTGATAAATGAGATTTCTACTTCTCCATCTCTTCTAGCCTCAAATTGGAAGAATTCAGGGTCTGGTATCAAGGTGATTAGTATTAATAGGTAACAATTTTATCTGGAGTAAAATAAATAGGAAGGACAGACTCTTTTTAGTTTTCCTGAAATAATGGTGAGGAAAATCATATTAATTAATATATATCTGTGAATGGTTTGGGGGAATATAGAAGATGTCCAGTGAATAATTGCTGGTTAAAGAGGAGGAAAAAATAGTAGCTGACTCATTTTTACCCATCATCTCTGTGTCTGAGGGTCTTTGCCACATGCATTATACATGCTGACCTACAAAGTATTGTGAAGAATATGTTCTTACCCTATTTTGCAGATGTAGAAACTAAGGCTCAGAGAATTAAATGAATTGTCAAAGACTACGCAGCTACTAGCATGGAGAGACTTAATTCAGTTCCAGTCCTGATTTCAAAGCCTATGTATTTTTTACCCTACCAGCATTTCCAGTGTGTAGCAAAGAAGATCAATGCCAAGAAGTATTCTCTGAGTAAAAGACTGTGTGACTACATGAATTTAGAAAACTCTGGATAGGGAATTTTTTTCTTAGCAATTCCCAATGTACGTAATAAAGCTTCTGAGAAGTCCTGAGGAAATTAAACTAAGTTGTTTGCTAAATCTAGCATTTGACTATAGACACTTCTGTTCTTTGATAATAATTATTTGGAGAATCCATGGTTTACTGAGCTAGGTTAAGAGTAAAAAGTCATGGAAACTTCACTAGTTAACCAGGTGTTTTTCTATGAGTAAGTTGGATCACCTCTTTGAGCCTGGATTTCCTCATTTATGAAATAAAAAATTATCCAGGTACTTCATAAGGTCTTTTTAAAGTATAAATGATTGATGACTTTGATTCATTTCTAACATGAACAAAATCCATTGTGCCTTGTGTAGATCATCAGCGAGGTGTCTGAAATCTCTACTCAATTTTCTATAGGACTCCTAAAAATTCATTATGTACAAACATGTTTCTTTCCTATTCTCCCATCCTCCTGTATTTCTTTATTTCCCTATTTTATTAAGGGGCATTAATAGTCACTTAGTGGCTTGTCAGAAACCTGTTGATGATCCTGGACTCCTTTTCTCTTGTCATCACTACATCCAGTCAGTATTAAATGTGGTAATTAAATGTGTGGGCTTCAGTGTTAGACTCTAGAACTCCCAGTTCTGGTTGTAGGAAAATGGGCATGTAACTTTACTTCCCTGTGTCTCAGTTTTCTTGTGTAACAAAAATGAACAATAATAATTCCAAGTTCATAGAGTTTTTGCCAAAAATACAATGAGATAATTAAATGTAACTAGAAATCCAATAAATGGGTTCTTCCCAGTATACTGCCTTTGAATTTCTTCTGTTCTTGCCCTCTTCCCCATGCCCAGTACTGCCACTATAACCTCAGACCTCATTACTTTACCAATATTCACTTACAGGTAGTCACCAATTTGGGCTAACTCTTGTCTAGTTCTCACCAATTTTCTTCTGTATTTCTGACTGAGCACTGGTTTTTTTTTTTTTTTAATTTTTATTAACATATAATGCATTATTAGCCTCAGGGGTACAGGTCTATGAATCGCCAGGTTTACACACTTCACAGAACTCACCATAGCACTTACCCTCCCCAATGTCCATAACCCAACAACCGTCTTCTTACCCTCCTTCCCCCAGCAACCCTCTGTTTTGTGAGATTAAGAGTCTCTTATGGTTTGTCTCCCTCTTGATCCCATCTTGTTTCACTTTTTCCTTCCCTACCCCACAAACCCCCCACATTACCTCTCAAATTCTTCATATCAGGGAGATCATATGATAATTGTCTTTCTCTGATTGACTTATTTCGCTAAGCATATTACCCTCTCATTCCATCTACATCGGTGCAAATGGCAAGATTTCGTTTCTTTAGATGGCTGCATAGTATTCCATTGTATATATGTACCACCTCTTCTTTAACCATTCATCTGTTGATGGACATCTAGGTTCTTTCCATAGTTTGGCAATTGCGGACATTGCTGCTATAAACATTCAGTGCACGTGCCCCTTTGGATCACTACATTTGTATCTTTAGCGTAAATACCCAGTAATGCAATTGCTGGGTCGTAGGGTAGCTCTATTTTCAATTTTTTCAAGAACCTCCATATTGTTTTCCAGAGTGGTTCTGAGTACTCTTTTTGAATCACAAATCTGTCATCTGATTCTGCCCTTGAATCTTGCACTCCAGTCAAACAACTATTCCAGCCAAAAGTCCAGATGACTTGTAGTTTTCAGAATAGGCTGTGCTGTTTCACACTTTGGTAATTTGCTTGTGCCACTTTCTAATGTTACCTGAAATGCTCCTACCACTGCCCTTTGTGTTTCTAACACATATCTGTTCATCTTTAAACTTAAAATGTCCACAGTGACACTCCTGGTCCCAGAATGAATTTCTAGGATCTTGCTACTTCTCACCAAGAGATGGAGCCTAGTACTTCTCTTGTTAAATCTAGACATCACTTGCTGACATCCTCAACAAACCTAACCAGCGTAGGTGATGCTGTGTAGACCCTGGGGTCCTAAAAGGCAATAGGGTTTACACTTGGTTTTCTTTTTGTTTGTGTATCTGTTGGGGGTGGGGGATACTTGCTCTAGGATATCAATCACCAGGCTCCAAAGAAGCCTAAAGTAGCCCATGTAGAGAGATAACATGAAAAAGGTCACATGGAGAGGAAGAGAGGCTCTTAGCCAATAGCTAGCATCCGCTGAGGGCTGGATCTCAATCTCTCTCTCCCTCTCTGTATGTGTATACGTATATACACACAGACATATGTGTGTGTGTGTGTGTGTGTGTGTGTGTGTATAGTCTCTCTATATATTCTCTCTATATATACAGATATATAGAGATCAAGATACAATATAGAGAGAGATGATGTGTATATATGTATATCAATCATATATATGAATGTACATATATATGTGGAGTTAATATATCTCCACAAAATATATCTGCACAAAAATCTCTGCCTTCATGAACCATGTATTCCCTGTAGCCTGTGGCCGTGTGTAGGAAAAAAGGATACTGTACTAAAAGAGATGTCTTCAATGCAGCCACGAAAGAGGAAAGCATCCTTTTAGATAGATTTACTCATTAATGTGAAAAATCATTTACAATTTAGCATGAATTAGAAGAGAAAGCTGGAAGGAGAGAAGCCCTTGGATTTTTTCCACCTGCTCATCTAACCAGTGAACTTCATGGACAGTTATGCATTCAAGCTTCTTTGTAATTTAAGCCATCTCTTGTGTGCTGCATATGGCGATCTGGGCTAGCCGTCTGGGATGTGACTCCTGCTTCAAGAGTAATGCTGAAGTTTGTAGCACTCACTGCCGTGGTGGGAAGCAGACTGTTGTTGAAGTGTTATTATTAATGAGGATTACTGCTGGACAGCTTGAACTAGAGGATAATTTATTCTCCGTGAACTTCTAATTGCAGTAAAATGGTTCATTCACTGCCACACTTGTCCATCTTGTTTGCTCCTGTCTTTCAGGCACGGTTGGCTGCAGTGAAATAAGACAGAGCTGCACAAGCTGCACAGGAAACAAAAGTCTGTATTTCTGGAGACACCGTGGAAACTGGTCAGAGAGCTTTAACTCATGTAAGAGAGGCTTGGGAAAAAGATGCAAAGCATTCTGGCATTCTCACAGGGGTGATAATCAATTCAGACGAACCAAGGCACCTACTATGCACAAGCCATTATGCCGAAATGGGAAATGAGTTTCCAGATGGCCTCTCACTGCTCTCGCTTTTGAATCCCATGCTTTCTCTCTGGCATTTCCGAAAGAGAGCTCTTTATCTTATTTTAAAATTTCACATACCCTTTCCGTTCTCTCGCTCTGCTTCAAGAGATTGCCTTGGGGGAATGAAAACTGCCTAAGATAATGACGTGTGCACTTTCTTGGTAGTATCTTCGATGTTATGGTGACTTCCTTCTGATTTTTGCCAAATTTCTCTCTCTCATCGATTTCGTTTTCTTCTCTATCTTTTATCTTTGGTAGGACAACCGCCTTGCTCTTTGCATAAATGTCAGTAAATGTGCTCCTTACTTGCTGCTACCATGGAAATAGACGCTTGTCATAGACTCATTACTGTATTTATAAAAGATTTGATCACTTGTGGTTTCGCAGGCTAAAGAAACAACCGATTCCCAGCCAATAAAATGATTCAAGCCTGTCTAAGATGGATGATAGATTAGGGTTTGGGCGCTATTATTATTTAATAGTTAGTAAGGTCTCTGAGTGGACTGGTGACAGGGTATCACCTGGGGAAGTGATCTTGGCTGTCAAATAGCATCCATTCTACTGTAGACAATCTTAATGGGACACTCAGCCGGGGGTGGGGGGAGGCAGCAGAAAGAGACAGAGAAAGAGAAAATGAGAGAGAGAAAAAGAGAGAGGGATAGGCAGAGAAAGAGAATTGAGTTTTACCATCACTATCCTTGATAACCTTTGACAATTACACACGTACTGGATAACAGGCCTGGAGGAATCCCAGGAAATGTCTGCAGAGATGCTAAGGAAGTGGAGAGCCTAGTTGACCTCAGGCTCCCATCTTGATCTAGCAATGAGTGCTTTATGTGAGGAACAGATGGCTTACATTGTGATTTAAGGACCATTGGGAAAGTAGCCATACAATAGTTATTGGCTAGTTGTACCCATTCACTGCCACAGAGCCTGAAATTCTGCCCTTAGAATCATGCCTTTGTCTTTAAGCAGGAGACAGTAATTATTCACAGAAGGGAAGGATGGGAGGTACAACGGAGGGGTGTTAAGAATTGCTTGTTGAGAGTCAGTCTAGTCATTATTTATGGAAGAAGTCATATTCTTATAGGTTGGGACAGAAAAAGATTAGAATTCATTGGGCTAAGGTATTGGCTTCCCTGGAACCCCCTGAAATTATATAACAATCTGCTGTAGAGAACAGCTTACTGAGAGGCAGTATATAGAGAGAGCTAGACCCTGGATGTTATAGCCAGACTCTCCAGGCCTAAACTTTTGCTCTGCCCATAGTGCCTGTGTAATCTTTGGAAAGTCATTACCTTTCTCTGGGCTTCATATTTTTTATCTGTAAAATGGATTAACCATTGTACTTAGCTCATAGGGTTATTGTGATGATTAAAGGAGCTAACATACCAGACTGTTCACTTAAAACAGTGTCTTACACTGAGCAAGTACTACAGGAGTCTTCACAATTATTAATATCAAAGGGGGTAAATTTGTTTTTCTCAAATTGTTGTTTTCTGAGGCAGTTTGGAATTGACTGTAGCACTCCGGAGCATCTTGCTGAAAGAAGGGAAAGATGTTTTGAGCCCAAGACGCCCCACCCCCTCCTCAGTCACTCTGGGTGGCTCTTCTCAGTGGGGTGCTTCTTACAACCTAAGGTCCACGTGAGGACAGTGAACAGCTCCACAAAAGCTGAGTGAGAGAGAAGAGATGTTAGAAAGATCCTTGTTTTTTTTTTTTTGTTAACCATTTCGTCGGGGTCTCTAAGCCCGCCATAATATTCCCCCTCCTTCTTATTTCCTTTAGGATGACGTAGAGAGAGAATTGCCCGAGTGGTTGGGGATGAGCCAGTGTTGGGGACACTGTGAGTGCTGTTTGTAGAAGTTTCTGGCACTTTAGAGACAGAAAGACCAAGGTCAAGTTCTGTCTGTGACATCTACTTTCTCTGTGAATCTTGATAAATCACTTGACGTCTCAGAGTAGCAATCCCTCATTTACCAAACGGGCATGCCACAATGTGCCTACCTCCCAGAGGGGTGGTGCTGATCAAATGTGATGATATGTGTGACAGAAACCTGTAAACTGTAAAGGGGGACAGAGATGTGAGCCGTTACTATTCGTGGTTCCTTTAGCTTCCCTGTTCTCTACAGGCAGACCTGCCTTTCAGCAGCACCTGCATGCTGTCATCACTTGGCTGGTGATTCTCTTTGACGGCTTTTCTTTTAAGCCTGTAACTGGTAATTGTACTCGGGCTTCTCTTGCTGTGGAGATGGTACCCGCCCACTGCCGGACTGGTTCAGGGAACGCACGCGGGAAGCTCTGTTTCCACAAGACAAGGAATCCTGACGGTGCTCGGAAAGGGTGACGCTCTCTCTCTTCCATTTGTGAATCACACCGTATTAATAGGAAACTTTTTGGAATCATGAGCTATTTTTGCGTGATACTGTTTCTCTGATGGTTGAGAAAACAATTTCAGAAACCAAGAGAATTAGAGGTTGGCCAAGGTGGAATGAATGCTATAAACCAAGATTACCTGAGGGGATAGGAGAGATAAGGGATTAAGTTGAGAAAAGAGATAACAAGGGGAAAATATACAAGGAGCTTGGGGAAATTTCCTGCTTGCAAGAGCATAGTTTTTAGTACTATTAAAAAAAAAGTCATTCTGATGGAAACATCTTCACTAGCAAATTCATGTACTAAGATTATGGTTTTCTTAATTTTGTATACTGGCTCAATGCAGTGACATTTGGCTGCCTTGGATTGAAGTGTTACTTGACAAAAAGGAAGAGGAAAGAGATGTCACTGTCAGTTGTGGACAGAATCAGATGGGGTCAGATCTGTGCTCTGCGGGTCACAGAAAACATTTTCAAATACCTTGCCTTTCAGGTCTCGATCATGGACAAAAATAGAGCACAGAAAGTGCTTCTTAGGGAAGACTTCATTTTCCCGATCTTTCACAACTGAAAAATGGAGCAAATGAGTGTCTGGGTACAGACCCTTGGCACCAAGTGACTGGGAGTCAATGGAACACTGCAGGGACACAGAACTTTGCCCGCCACGGAGCATATTACCCGAGAAATACAGTACGGACCCAGCAGGCTTCTGCAAACAACACATCCCTTTAAGTTAATTGGTGTTATATAGAAGCTGAAATGCTTCGCTTATTTACAAAGCTACAGATTTATGTAAAGCAAAACCAATTACACTTAATGCCTAAACTATTCCAGGTGCTCAATGATAATGTTGCTAGGCTCTAGAGAAGGAACTGCAGTGTGAACGCGTCCTATTCCGAATGGAGGCATGTGTAGTTACTGCAATTTAGCTAATCACAAGTGTCAACCCCGATGTGAGAATTCTAAGCTCTTTTGGTGTTTGCTTTGGGTCAACTTTACAATTCTGTAGATCTCTTTTCATCTCTAAGGACGAGTGAAAGCATAATGAGCACTTTTTTCTATTATGATGTAGAAATTAGGGAGATGAAGGCAAATTAAAAAAAACAAAAAAAACAAAAAACTGCACACGCAACAAAATAAAACAGACCCTTATTCTAGTGGTGAGAGAGACTGCCAGAGCTCCTTGCTTGTACTAAGGTGAAGTGTTTAAAGGTTTCTTGATATTTTGGATGTTCATTAAATCCAAATTGCAAACATGGCATTTAACCTTTTTTTTTTGCAGCAGAGAAAGCCTCTAAGACATATCCAGGGGCTGGCCTCACTATTTTGCCATAGAACAAACACAAAAATTAAGAAAGATTTGGAATAGTTACAGGGCAAGAATTTATGTGTGCACGAGCTAGTCTCTTTAGTCCTAGCTAGTCCGCCAAACAAACAAGCAAACAAAAAATTGAGTAAGAGAAACACCTGGTGCTTTACAGCTGCTCTTTTGCAATTAAAAATGCATATCATATCTAATCAAGCTGAATAAATCTTTTATCCTACAGATCTAAAATATTTTCGGTATACATAAGGGAGGTGCGTAATTGTAGAACAATTTGCAATCAGCTGATAAACCCACCTATCCTATCGACTATGAACTGTCCTAGAAAGCAGTGGTGCTTCTACTTTAGGGAACACAAGAATGATTTGGGTGTGTTTGTTAAAACCACTGGTTCCTGGGAAAAGAGTTGGGTTAAAGCAGTCTTTGGGAGGGGCCAGAAAATTTGCCTAAAGCAGGTGACCCTCAACCAAACTTTGACAAGCACTGCTACAAAGGACTGGGGCACAAGTTTTATTTTATATTAGTTTATTATTTCTATGTATTTTATTTTGTTTTTTTAAAGAGAGAGAGAAGGGAGTTGGGGGGGGATCAAGGGAGAAGAAGAGAGAATCTTTTTTTTTTTTTTTTTAATTTATTTGACAGACAGAGATCGCAAGTAGGCAGAGAGGCAGGCAGAGAGAGAGGAGGAAGCAGGCTCCCCGCTGAGTGGAGAGCCCAATGCGGGGCTCAATCCCAGGACCCTGGGATCATGACCTGAGCTGAAGGCAGAGGTTTAACCCACTAAGCCACCCAGGTGCCCCAAGAAGAGAGAATCTTAAGCAGACTCCACACTTACTTTGGAGCCAGATGCGGGGCTCGATCTCATGACCTCAAGACCGTGACCTGAGTTGAGACCAAGAGTTGGACACTTAACCAACTGAGCCACCCAGGTGCCCCCATTCATTATTTTTTTGTGAGTTTCCACATTTCTTTGTTTATATAGGAAGAACCTCTTTTGGAAGACAATTTTGTGAATGGGTCTGAATTGGTAGCACTGAAGACCAAAAGATGGGAATTGGGTTAGAGAATTTTTTTTTTTTTTTAAGATTTCTTATCTATTTATTTGACGCAGAAAGAGAGTGTGTGTGTGCACACACAAGAAGGCAGAGCAGCGAGCAGAGGGAGAAGCAGACTCCCCACTGAACAGGGAGCCTGACGTGGGGCTCAATCCCAGGACTCTGGGATCATGACCTGAGCTGAAGGCAGCCGCTTAACCACTGAGCCACCCAGAAAACCCTAGACTAGGGAATTGCTTTAATCTTCTCTATTTGATTTATCACTTACCTTCTCAACACTTGTTTCACCTTCTCCAGTTTTCCTTTTTCCTTCAATCATTCTATCATTTACCTTTATTTTATAACTTCTTCAGTATGTGACTATTCTTTCTTTGTTAAGGACCTCTATTTTAGTTAACATTGCTTTTCAACTCAGAGAAAATATCCTTACTTCATATCTTGATAGTGTGACATCAAGATCAAATACAGTATAATGACATATAGATTTATTATTTAGTCAGACATAGATAGTATATGATACAAGGCTTGGCGTATAATAAGTGCTCAATAAACGTATAGAAAGAAAGAATGTTAACATACAATTATTTTGATTATATTAGCACATTAAAACTAACAAATATCATTTCTATTGCTCTTAGTGGCTGAACCATTATTGCAAAAAATTGTAAAATATTGTAATGCACATGAAACTGTCATTTTGTTGTCAGGGAGTAATCACAGACTTTGAAATTAACTGTAATGTATAATGTGTTAATGCAAAAGGCACAACAGTTTACTAGAGGAGTCATAATTAGTCTTTATAAATAAAGTACACAGATACTATTCATGAAGTCCCTCCCATACATATTAGTTCTTAAACTAAAAAGCATAAGATGTTCAGCTGAAGAAAATAGTGACTACTTTGCTTATAAGGTGCGTGGAGTCAAATATAGTTTCATAGGGCTGTCTCCCAAAGATGGATACTTGAAGAAAATTCCTGCGTACTGCCATAAAATTTCAGAGACTTTTCATGGAGGAGAAGTGTTTCTTCAAGATTACTTCCACTGATGTTCTGGGCATTAAAATGATTTAGATTACAATACCTAAAAAAGAAAGAAAGCTTTTTTTAGGACCAGATGTAGATGACTTGATAAATCATTTGCTTTCTTCCTGTGCTTGTCTACCTTTTATTATGGGCCCATAGATACTGGCACAACACTGATGATTATTTAAGAGCACTGCTCACCAGGAACAGTCTTTATAAAATGACAAAAGGAGTTTTAGGACCTGTTAAGGTGTCTCATAAAGACCTCTAGATGGCGCTCATTTACAACCTGCAACGAGTGTGACAAAGACAAACTGGAAAGTCTGAAACCCTATCGACTTGATAGCATTGTGGAGGCCAGGACTCAGGAAGGGCTCATCAGGTGCATGGGGGATTTGTAAATTCAGTGTTGAAGCTATATGGAAAACACCATTATCAAAGAAGAAGTCCATGCATAACTTTCTAGAATGTGTGCCCTTTACTCCTGACCCAAGGAACACCTGGTTTTCCTGAGTGTCTTCTAAGGGCCAGGCACCAGGCTAGGGCTCTATCTCCACTCTAACTTAATGAATTCTCATTATAACCCTGGAAGGATGAAATTATCCCCATTTCACATATAGGGAAACTAAAGTTCTAAGAGATTACATAACTTCCCTGGGGTTTATATGAATAGTAGTCTGCAGAGCCTAGGTTTGGAATCAGTGCTCCTCTAAGGCACTTAGAAATAGCATGCTATACAAGAAAGTGTTTATAAACAAACACATTTGGTTTTGAATCCTAGGTGTGTGAACTTAGTTTACTTACCTAGATTCTCACTTTGGTTTTCTTATTTATAAAGTAAAGTAATAGGGTTTAGGTAACAGGGACGTAGGTGGAGATTAAATGTTATTTGTCTTGCATGCTGCCCAAGATACAGAAGTGCTTAACACTTGGAAAACTAATTTCCTCCCTTCTTGCTTTGTTTTATCCTCTCTCTTTTTTCCCCCTTCTCTTAAAAGTATACAGAAAAAGGAGGAGAAAGCGTAGGAAACTAGAGAAGATACGCTAAGAATCAGATTTATTTCTATATCACTTAGTCCCTTCTCATCTTTTGTTCCTCCAATATTTGGTGCTTTGTACAATTTTGTTCTTGCCTCCTTCTCTGCACCCCATTCCACCATCTTTCACTTCTTTATAGTAACTCACATGTTCGATAATCACAGAGAAAGAATCACACTTAAATAATTTAACTTGAGCACTAGGTATTAGCTCCATGTAGACTGGACTGAACTGCTTTCGTCAGTTCTATATTTTCTAGTGCCTGGAACAATGCTTAGTATATTGGTTGAATGAATGAATGAATGAATGAGTAAATCCCTGAGCTAATAGATTCTGGGTCCAGTGCTATTTCGTCCATGAATTCAGCCCATAATCCTGGTCATCTTGGCCACACCTCTTCATGAGTCTAGAAGAATTTAAAAAGGAGGAAGAAAGGGGGCATAAGGCAAAGAACGAGTCCATTGTTATTACTGTAGCTAACATTTTTGAGCATTTTCTCATCCTCACAACAACTTTATGGCATAATTACTGTTCTTCTTATTTCATTTTACAAATGAAGAAATGGGCTTAGCAAAGTAAAATACCTTGCTCATGTTTGTACAGCTAAGTTGTAGAACTGGATTCACCTGGGATAACTTGAAAGATTGCCTTTTAAATTACTTTATGAAAAGACAAGAGTCCAATCTTACAGTGGGAGAAAAAGTAAAAGTCGAGAAACTGCAGGTTTATGAGACTTAGCAGATGGGCACCACTTCCGTGTTTGGAGGCAACGGATGGAGGGCAAAGATGTGTTGCCTTCACCTTCCGTTTTCACTGATGACTCTCTTTTGCTACAAAGCTGAGGACATTCCTGTTGGATTCTTCTGCAAGACTCCCTGATATTCTGCTTTGGTTTTCAATCCAAGAACGAGATAGAGAGAAACTATACATGGTGAGAGGTTAATTTGATAACTTCTATACTTTGGAAAGTAAGAAATTTAAAAATTCAGACTTTTGCTTTTTGTCATTAATTCCACCTTGCATGAGATTTAAGTGCCTCTCTCCTATACTGGACCATAAGCTCCATGAAAGCAAGAGCATATATAAACATTTATAGACTTACTGACTTTGTGTGCTTCTAGTTTATTGCAGTGCCTATCACATGACCAGCATTCCAACAGAGTTTTATTCAATGAATAGGCAACAAAGAAGTGAAAATGATTGGATAAAATATGACTAAATAGATAAGTGAATGGTGGAAAGTGAGAAAAATAAAGATCTCTGTCGTTTCCACAATGTGGTAGACATGGTGCTCGGCCCTTTACCAAAATTCATACCCTTAAAGCCCACAAGATGCTGGTATTCTTGATTTTATTTCACAGGTATAAAAACAGAGACTCAGAGAGGTTAGATAATTTGCTCAAAAGTACACAGCTCTCCAAGAATATGTCAGTGAGAGAGAGGTGGGCTGGCGGTGGATGGATGGTAGATGATACCTATTAAGCCACTGAATGGTCTCAGGTGACTGACTAAATGATTTTGCAGTTTGTTATTGACCTTGAAATGGTCACTGCTGATTTAAAGGCCTGAATGGAATCCAAATCTTAAGCATCATTAGATTCCTAGCTATTTGTTTAATGATATTTGCTTTTAATGATAATGACTCATTCATTCTTATTATCAATATGGTTATTTCTAATTCTGAAGTGGTACTATACAGTGGAGAAAAAATATCTTCCTTCAGAACATGTTTTAGAATCGAGTAAAACACTATTTTATTATAAGGATCAATGGCGAAAGTGAAGCCTAAATTGAAATTTCTTGCTCTGCATAATCTGTTAAATTTCTCTAATATGCTAATTTGTCCAGTCATGGCATACAGGATTCCTGTTGGCTCGGTGATGGTTCCCAGATCAATATTTCATGGTCTCAGAAATTGCTCGTCTTACCACACACTTACCTTTGTGAGACACTCCAGAATCCCAGGACGTTCAACAACGTTAATGATGCCAAAAAGAAGAAGAAGCTTTCTAAATTGCCTTTGTTTAATGTGTTTGGAAACCAATTGCCTGTTTGGAACAAAATGTAATTGTTATTCAACTGCAGAGTTATAAGTTTCTGTGAATGTTTTATCATTCCACTATTCATAGAGATTTATTTGCTTCAGTAATATCTACAAAGCAAAAAAGCTCATCTGAAACTCATTGTTAAAATTCATTTAATTCTCTAATTAACAGTAAAATGACAAGCAAAGCACCCCAAATATTTTGAAGGTCACAAAACCTGAATCTGCATAACACAATATAAGTTCAGAAGAACTGAGCTATAAAAGTAACCCTGATTATGCTAATTTACCAGAACAGAACATGTGTATCTTACTCATCCTTATCGATCTAGTATCTAGAACAGTGCCTGACACATAAGAATCGGTCAGTAAATCTAAACTGAATGAATGAAAACTTTTTGCCACAGGCAGACAGTCTGTTGCAGATTCTCATTGTAAGGTTAGTGACATAATACATATAGATTCCAGATGTTGCATTATTTTGGCAACTTAGGTAAACCCAGTTTCACCTCTTTGTAACATCACAGACCCTGTTGGTCAAATTACTTGCAATCTCTGGTTGACATGAAGGGTTTTTTTTTTGACCTGATAAGTAATGCCTTCAAATTAATACTTCTAAATAAGATAATTGCATTTTCTTATGATGTCAAACTGCTCTATACAAAACCATTAGATGAGTATATATGAAACTATTTAGGATTCAAGGTAATTGCTTTTACTTTGCTGCTAAGTTTTGACTTTTGCTTTGGATCTTTGCTATAATTCTCTCTCCCTTTCCATAACCAGATCCATACTTTTATGTATCATCTCTATTTCTACACACCCTCAATTTTCCTTCAGTGGGTTTGTATTACTATTTAATACATAATATGAGATAATGTATTTTATATGCAACACTTATTTTTATGCAGTACTTTTAAAACAACAAGGGGATCTTCGTATTAACAAATATAGGTATATAGTATCACATAATGTTAAATAGATTGTTCAACTACAGGGTATCATGCTGAGCGAAATAAGTCAATCAGAGAAAGACAATTATCATATGATCTCCCTGATTTGAGGAAGTGGAGAGACAACATGGGGGGCTTTAGGGGTAAGAAAGGAATAAATGAAACAAGATGGGATCAGGAGGGAGACAAACCATAAGAGACTCTTAATCTCAAAAAACAAACTGAGGGTTGCTGGGGTTTGGGAGGGTTGGGAGAGGGTGGTGGGGTTATGGACATTGGGGAGGGTATGTGCTATGGTGTGTAAACCTGGTGATTCACAGACCTGTACCGTTGGGGATAAAAATACATTATATATTTATAAACAAAATTTAAAAATTAAAAAAAAAAGATTGTTCAAAAGGCCAAATCTATCTTCACGGAGAGAACTCATAGTCAATTGCAGTTCTGAATGGGCACAATATTTACCAAAAAAATTATGCATTATGAATACAGGATTTAATCTTTGAGCAGTCAGATGCCAAGGTTTTGGCATTTTCTTGCTTTTTGTAGGAGCAGCTCCTACAGTGGGTTGTGAAGAGGGGTGTGGGCCTAGAGCAGTCAGTCTATGTGCCAAAAGACTTGATCTCCAGTGCTATCTTTGGTACATGGGTTGTGAGTTGCTTCCTGAACTAGAAAATGGTTCTTGCCCTTTCCCTTGACAGTGCATACTTTTAAATGAAATTTGAATTAAATGCTCTGTTCAGGGTTGATAGTCAGCAAGTACATAAGTATGACAGCTGTGATTCATGGTGCCACTTCCCATTTAAAGCTGTTTCTCTTCTTAAAGCCTTTAACAATGACTATTATTTTGGACCAACCATGAAAATTAGCTTGTGTCTTGGACCTATAGCTGAAATGTGGTGTTGAGCTGAAATCTATGCAGTAAGTTCTACTTCTCCATTTTATTCATTTGTGTTCCATTACAATAGAAATGTATAGTGTTATTGCTATATTGACATAATGCCTTCCTTTGACAGGAGTAGTTTCATACAATGTTTCCCTCTGTGTCTGGGCCTATGTAGCCTGTGTGTGTGTGTGTGTGTGTGTGTGTGTGTGTGTGTGTGTGTGTCTGGGTGGGTGGGTGTGCACATATGTTTAGAAACTACACATTTGATTATACTTGAATGAGGGGAGTTGGGGTGGAAGTCAAGGTAAGGTGAGATGACATCACACATATTTTTAGGAAGAACTAAACCACCTTGCTAAGCTTATTCAAACAGTCCTATTTCCTTATTTCTCTTGAATTAATATCCCAATCTTATTTCTGTCCTTTTCATTTCACATCAGCACTTTGCATGTGATGTGATTAGACCATCTTATCACTGTGTTTCTCTGGCTAGACTAAGAGGAGTTTGCACAGAGTATGTGAATCCTCAGAATTAACATGACATTAATTTTTCTTGGAGCATGAATTTTGGTCCATAATAAGTAATTGAAAAGGCTATCTTTATATTATAACAAAGTTAGATGAGGGAGAAGAATATAAATTTTGTAAGATCTTTACAGGTAGAACATAATATTTCTAAAAAAAAATTGTGCAATTATAGCACATACCAGCCTATCTGGATATGGTACCAGCTCGCCCTGCCCATGACCATGTGCTTGGAACTGTCACTAGGGGTGCTCTGGTGGGTACAAATGAGAAGTGCCGGGAGTTGGAATTATGGGCATGAGGGGTGAAGGGAGGATGTCGTGCTGGATAGGTTAGGGAAAGGCAGTGGGAATTTATGAGCAACACAAAACATTTTGTGAGTGGAGTATTTAAAAAATAAAATGAAAGATTGACATATCACCTATTCAAATTCTATAGTCCTTCTCAAATATCATTTTTAGTGTTCAGCTTCCTTCCTAATGCTGATCCTCATGCTAGCTCTGTATTTTTGCTTTACTTAGCTATAAGTTTACATTCCCTATGTAGCTAATTTACAAGGTGAGCTCTCAGGTAAGGAGAAAAATCATCTGAATTCATAGACTGGAATATACACTGGCATCAAGCTGGACAGAAAGATAGTTCCGGAAACCTAAAATTTGCTTTCTTAATATAGAGATTATCAGTCTATGTAAAGAGATCGCTTTGGGAGTGAAGAGACAAAGAAAGACCATGGGGTTTGGAGGCAGAGAGACTTTTGAAGTCAAATACTGTCTCCATTATTTAATAGTTTTGTTTTGGGGCATTTGCCCAAACAGACCATTTCAGCCTCAGTTTCTCCTCTCTAAAATGACAACACCTTTCTCACTGAGCTGTTATGAGAAGTAAAAGAGATAATAGATGTCAAGAGTTGGACAAGGAGGCACTCCAAAACTTGAGATTATCACCACCCACCACACCTTATAAGTGGCATATACAAAATCCTGTAGCCTGAGCTTGGTCTTGGACCCATTTCCTATCAGATATTTCTTCATGTTCTTCATGTGCCTTTTTTTTTTTAATCATTATCCCAGGACTGGTTGTAAAATGTTCCATTTAACATTGTCAGTTGACTCAGCTCTTAGGTACTATAACTTTATTTTAGTAGCTTATAAACTTTTATTGTCGTAATTCACATTTGTGCTATTTTTCATCAGACATTTCTAGTAGCTGATTGAAATCTGGGGCATCCTTGCAAAAGGAGACAAAGAGAGGACTTAAGGTCTAGAATGGAACAAACTAAACTTCCCCAGATCTTAGCTTGGGTGGGTAGGAAGGTTATAAACACAAGAAAACATGCATGCCTCAACAGTGGAGGACAGGAAGTGCCTTGGTGAGCCCTCGTTGAGTACTTTAATAGTATATCCAGCCTACTTAGTAATGAGTGTTTGGCCACTGAGTAATAGAACATTCACAAAATACTTTGCAAGACTCAGAAGTTCCCCAGATATTTTTTGTTCAGTTAGATCTATTTGTTCATCTGAAAATCATTTGCTAAGAAGTTGTCATGTACCAGGAGATGAGCATTCCAAGTTGCTTAAGAAAAAAGAGCTCATAGGTTGGTAGGGCAGACATGCAAAAAGATAATTACTCTGGAGTATTAGGCCTTATAGATACTAAGTAAAATGTTTCTACTTACTTTAAATTATCATGGCCATTTTAAAGTCAATAGGACTATGGAATTATCTAGACTAGTTCTTGTATTTTACCGATTAAAGAGCAAAGGCAAGAGAGATAAGTAGAGGCATGGCTCAGTAGAACCCTCATCTTGTTACAACAGTACTGCTAAAGCCCTCACTGATGCTAATAGAATCATGTTGCCATAAACAACACAAAGTTACTAGTATGAAAGAGAATATACTTTATCCTTGTCCCTTATTATGTCTTGCATGGTGAGGCCCCAAATTTCATGTGCTGCCCTCATGTCTTGGAGCTTCACAGGGCCCCAAAGTCCTAAGCACATACTTCTCTGCTCTTTCAGATGCCCTCCCCACCCGGTGGGAAGTCCCCCCGTCCCCCTCAAGGCTAGCTCCCCTGTTAGTCAGACCAGGTGCCTGGTACTGGTCCTAGCCCTAAAGCTTTTGCCTCCCTACCAGCCTTCAACGTTATTCAAACAATCACATCCTCCTGCAGGATCCAGGAGCTGCCTCACTGCTTTGTTCCTACCAAGCCTGCCCTCCGCAGATCCTCATTTACTCTACTCCCAAGTGCAGCCTCATATGGCCCTGCATGGCATATTCTCCTGCCCTGGGCTATGAGTATAATATGACTAATAAACTGTTGTCAGTCCATAGCCCAGCATCAGGTGTCATATTTTCAGCCATTTTAGCCCATTTAGGTTGAGGATCTCTTCCCCACACCAAGCTGATGAATAGGAGGTGATCAGAACATACCCCTACACAGAAATCAAGGTCAGTTCTAAACAGAATACTGGTAGCTGCTGTTGTTCTAATGCATAATTACTGCTTTGGGAAGGAGAAGTAGCATTTCCATATTCCATTCTAATCAGTACCCAACGCCAAGTACCTCTGCTTTTAGTACCCCCTTAAACCGTAAGACAGGAAGTAGTGGGAGCATGACCAGCAAGGCACACTGCATTCATGT